AGTCTCAGAGCACTTTACAACCTCCTTTCCCTTCCCCTCCCCACAACAGACACCCCGTGAGGTAGGTGGGGCTGAGAGAGCTCTTTTGAGGACTGCCCTGGAGAGAACAGCTCTGAGAGAACTGGTGACTGACCCAAGGTCACACCAGCAGCTGCATGGGGAAGAGTGGGGAATTAAACCCAGTTCTCCCAGATTAGAGTCCGCGCTCCTAACCATGACACCAAACTGGTCCTCCGCCTCCTGCCTCCCTGAAAGCTTTGACTGGGAGAGGCCGGGTCTTGAACCTGGGATGTTCTGCAGGCAAGGCTACATCTGTGACCCATCGGGACCGGAGAGCGGAAGTAGTCAGGAATCCCACACCACCACCAATCGGTGGGCTTCCCACCGCTGCCGCCACATGGCCAAGGGACTTGGCGCCTCTGAAACACTTCCCAACCCCCAACCCCACCCCCAATGCTCCCTCTAAGCTGTGCAGTCTGTGAGCGAAAATTCTACTTTGCGAGCTACTACCATTAAAGCCGTGAGCGAGCCATTTGGCTACCACATAAATTAGTTTGCTCTGGAGCTACGACAAAAATCTGTGCGCTGGAGGCCAAAAAACGGTGAGCTAGCTCACACTAACTCAGTTTAGAGGGAACACTGCCCATCACATGGGAATCCACGTTGAACCTGAGGGGACTTCCACAAAGTTCGAGAGGCAGCTTTTCAGGCAGAAAGGTTTTTTTTAAAAAAAATCCCACCATCTACACCCAACCTCAAGTGAGCACTTGAAGCAGCTCTTAGGCCTTTGCCGTCATGACATAATAAACCTGCTATGTACGGCCCATTTGGCAAGACTAGGAAGCATTGTTTGGCATTACCAGCGAACAACTCTTAATGTTGGTGGAGAAGTTGAAGAAACTTAGGGAAGCCCTGCAGGGTTTTCAAGACAAGACACAGAGAGGTGGTTTGCCATTGCCTGCCTCTGTATAGCGACCCTGGACTTCCTTGGTCATCTCCCTTCCAAGCCCTACAATTCAACTCGGCTTCCAGGATCTGATGACAATATTACATAAGAATATAAGAGGAGCCCTGATGGATCAGACCAGGGGTCCATCTAGTCCAGCATCCTGTCTCACCCAGGGGCCAGCCAGTTCCTCTGGAGGACCAAGAACAAGGCAGAGAGGCCGAGGCCTTCATAAGAACGCAAGAATAGCTGGGTCAGACCAGGGGTCCATCTAGTCCAGCATCCTGTCTCACCCAGGGGCCAGCCAGTTCCTCTGGAGGACCAAGAACAAGGCAGAGAGGCCGAGGCCTTCATAAGAACGCAAGAATAGCTGGGTCAGACCAGGGGTCCATCTAGTCCAGCATCCTGTCTCACCCAGGGGCCAGCCAGTTCCTCTGGAGGACCAAGAACAAGGCAGAGAGGCCGAGGCCTTCATAAGAACGCAAGAATAGCTGGGTCAGACCAGGGGTCCATCTAGTCCAGCATCCTGTCTCACCCAGGGGCCAGCCAGTTCCTCTGGAGGACCAAGAACAAGGCAGAGAGGCCGAGGCCTTCATAAGAACGCAAGAATAGCTGGGTCAGACCAGGGGTCCATCTAGTCCAGCATCCTGTCTCACCCAGGGGCCAGCCAGTTCCTCTGGAGGACCAAGAACAAGGCAGAGAGGCCGAGGCCTTCATAAGAACGCAAGAATAGCTGGGTCAGACCAGGGGTCCATCTAGTCCAGCATCCTGTCTCACCCAGTGGCCAGCCAGTTCCTCTGGAGGGCCAACAACAGGGCATGGAGGCTGAGGCCTTTCCCTGATTACTATATAAGAAGAGCTTTGCTGGATCAGACCAGTGAGGGTCCATCTAGTCCAGTATCCTGTCTCACACAGTGGCCAACCAGTTCCTCTGGAGGGCCAACAACAGGGCATGGAGGCCAAGGCCTTCCCCTGATGTGGCCTCCTGGCTCTGGGATTCAGAGGCTTAGTGCCTCTGAACACGGAGGTTCCCCTCAGTCACCATGTCTAGTAGCCATTGCTAGGCTTATCCTCCATGAATCTATCTCATCCACCTTTAAAGCTGTTCATTCCTGTGGCCGGTGCTCCATCCTCTGGCAGCGAATGCCACATTTCAGTCACTCTCTGCGTAAAGTAGTATTTCCTTTTTGTCCGTCCAGAACCTAGTGCCCATCAGCTTCATTGGACTGAAGCCCGGGCCATCCAGATCAGGGGGCCCAACCCTCCCCCAAAGAACTATTTGCAACATGAACGGCTGAGCCTCAACACGGTTTTGCCTGAAGGTTCACGGTTTCATTCTCCCTCTCGGGGTCTATGATGCGTTCTCCCGTTCCGACTCTCAAGCTCCACCTCGGTGGCCAGGCAAACTCCCGTGACCCACTAGGTGCCTTCCTGTAACCCTCATCCATGTCATTAGGCTCCACCCATCAGTTCCTGGACTCCACCTCCCTTTTGAGCTTTAGACGCTGGGCTGACCCTCCGTCTTGCTGCTGCTGCTGTAGCCAAAAATATATAGCATCTTTGCAACACCACGTCACCCGTTGCTATGGGGACGGACCATGATTTTATAGGTGCTGCAGCTCTGATATGATTTTGGGTCATTTTTACCACATCGTTCGACAACTAATGGCTCACTTACAACCTTCTCTTCTCCCCACCTGCAAAAAATAATAAAAGGATCCCAGTTCACGCTTTGGAGATATTTGTGCATCTGCCCTGGCCCACACCCTTAGCAGCAGCACAGCGTGTCAAAGTTTAGCAGGGGCAGCTTTTCCTGGAATGGAGGCGATTTGTTGAAAAACCTCACTACACTTCAATGTGCAAAAGGCTGCCAGAGCAAGGCCGGCAGAACGCAGCCGCTTCCAAACGGCCGCCCGACAAGATGGCTGCCGTCTCGTCAAGGAACCAGTCTTTTAAAGACTTTTACAAAGTCACCGTAACTTCATCCCCATGGTAACTGGCTACGAAGACCCAGGAAGAGAAATATGAGATTCTTCAAGCGTACATGAGAAGGATCAAGGGAAACCGGCTCGAAAGCAAGGAGTATTGAGGTGTGCCGTTCTTTATACAAAAATACTGCTTACACCTCGGGCCGCTTTGAGCGCAGGGTGTTTTGGTGGTCAGTTCACAAAGCCACATTTTTCTGCATAGTGGGCCCTGGTCTGGATAGCACAGGCTAGCTCAATTTTGTCACATCTTGGAAGCTAAGCAGGGTCGGCCTTGGCTAGTATTTGGAAGGGCAACCTCCAATATCAGGGTCATGACGCACAGGCAGACAACAGCAAACCAACTCTGAAATGTCTCCTGCCTTAAAAACAAGTCTTGCTCGCCACCTAGCGGTCCATAATGCTAAAAGAGCTAGAACTTCAGCCTGCCAGACAATCTTAGGATCGCCTGGCTGTTCTACACACAATGCAATACAATTATGATGATGATGATTCTGCATACCGGGGGTGGGGGGGGGGTGTTGCAAAATGTGTAGAAAACCTGACCTTGTCTGGGGAGGGGAAGCTCACTTTGCCAATGTCATGTTCTCCACTTTACTAGCAGATGTAGTATTCTGGCTTGGATCACATACGGCATGAACTGAGAGGTATTCCTAGAAGCGAGCTCTCCGATTTCCCCAGTCTCCCATGCCCCCTGCAATAGCACCCCCAACAGACAAAGGGCCTCTAGAAGAGGGGGGGCAAATAGGGGTCAGCAGGGGGAACAGAGATTTGGGAGAAGCTGCCCTTCCCTTTCCACTGACGGACCTCTCTTCTACCAGTGGACAAGACGGGGCTGAACTAGACAGGGTGGTGGCCTCGGGGAAGCTGCCACTTTTGTGCTGTGTGGTTTTTTTGCTGTCAAGTCACAACCCACTTATGGCGACCCTGTAAAGATTTCAAGGCAAGAGACATTCAGAGGCGGTTTGCCCTTGCTTGCCTCTGCGTAGCAACCCTGGACTTCCTTGGTGGCCTCCCATCCTAATACTAACCCTACTTAGCTTCCCGGATCTGATAAGAGATCAGGCTAGCCTGGGCGATCCAGGTCAAGGCAAGAGACATTCAGAGGTGGTTTGCCCTTGCCTGCCTCTGCGTAGCAACCCTGGACGTCCTTGGTGGGCTCCCATCCTAATACTAACCCTACTTAGCTTCCGGGATCTGATACGAGTTCAGGCTAGCCCAGGACACCCAGGCCCAAGCAAGAGACATTCAGAGGTGGTTTGCCCTTGCCTGCCTCTGTGTTGCGACCCTGGTATTCTCTGGCATTCCTTGGTGGCTTCCCGTCCAAATACTAACCAAGGCTGACCCTGCTTAGCTTCTAAGCTCTGATGAGATCAGGCTAGCCTGGGCTATCCAGGTGAGGGCCTGCCACCATTTTAGGGTGATTTTAAAATGCAGTACTCTCCTACCCCTACAGACCTTTTCAAGTCCTGAAACAGCCGTAGGAGGGAGGGGTGCAGACATTTTGACAACTGGGATCAGGCCCATATAGGGTTGCCAGGTCTGGACTGGAAAACACCTGGAGACTTTGGGGGTGGAGCCGGGAGAGGGCGGGGTTAGGGGAGGGGCCTCAGCATGGTGTACCATGCCACAGAGTCCACCCTTCAAAGCAGCCATTTCCTCCAGGGGAGCGGATCTCTGTCAGCTGGAGATCAGTTGTAAAAGTGGGAGATCTCCAGGCCCCACCGGGAGGCTGGCAGCCCTAGGCCCACATAACATTTCTGAATCCCCTTAAAATGTCGGCAGTGCCCCATGGTGGCCATGAGGACACCATTATGTCTCGTTCAGTCCATAGTCGGGATCCCGACCAGCAGAGGGAAATATTTATAACGTCACCGATCCAGTCCAATAGGGGCTGATTTCGCAACCCATAAGCCCTGCACAAAATCTACTTGGAAACCACCACCACCACCCCTAGAAAAACAACAGGGTGGAACTGGAGCTGTTTGGATTTATTGGAGACTTCCAATTAATTCTTAATTATATACATGTATTCATCCCAGTCATACTTTATACATCCCAGACATTCAGTCCATTCCATTAAAATAAAAAAGGTATCCCCCCCCCCCGCCCGCTCCACAAAATAAACCTCCAAGACAACAAAAATAAAACCTTTCTTTAGCTGGAAAATACAAGCAATACCATTCTGGAAATATTACCTTTAGAATAAAAACCCTACTGATAACTTAAAGTAGGATATTGAAGGAGGGGAGAGGAGAGAAGACCGGGGGCGGGTGGGGGTTAAAAAAATCTTGATTTTTTTTACTCTCTCTTAAATAAAGCAGCATTTATGTTTATAATAATGTCTTTTTGTTTTCATCCACACAGTTCATTCTTGTGTTTCAACGTCGAAACACCCCCCAAAAAACCCACGGAGGAAGGGGGGGGATTTAAACAGCAACAATGAAAAAAAAAGAGAGGAAGTTGTAAAGTCACTCTCCAAGGAGTCGAATGAAAGTCCAGTCGATTCAGAATGTAACCACGTGCTTCTTTTGTCTGCAAGTGTAAGGCCTAGAGAAGGAGATGGGCGTGCTTTCAATAGAAGCAAACCGTGTGCAGAAAAGTCCGACCGCTTTTCTCTTCAAATTCCTGTAGCAATTCGTCTATTTCGTTTTCCATGTCTTCCGTGTGCTGTATCTGGAAGCAAAGCGAAAGGGGAAAGGCCGATTTATTGCACTGAATATATTTCTACCTGCATAGCCTAGGCTAGCCCAGATCTCAGAAGCTAAGCAGGGTCAGTGCCAGCTGGTATTTGGATGGGAGATCTCTAAGGAATACCAGGGTTGTGATGTGGAGGCAGGCACCTCTGAAATTTTATTTAGTTATTTATTTACTTTCAATTTATATCCCACCTTGCCGGTGTAAACTGGCTCAAGGTGGCTTATGCAAGTTAAAATGCAGTAAAACCAATACATACAATAAAATTACAATAAGAACAATTACATAAAATGCTAATATAAACAGATGGCGGGAATTTCTGTACATGGTCCGATGGGGAGAGGCCATATCCGGTGTTGTTACGTAGGGCTGTAGTGTATTCAATGTACAAAGGTTGTCAGTGGTGGCTCCTAATCAAAGGCCTGGTGGCTCTGTTTTACAGGCCCTGTGGAACTGTAAAAGGTCCTGCAGGGCCCTGATGTTCTCCGGGAGCTCATCCGACCAGTGTGGAGCTGCCACTGAAAAGGCCCTGGCCCTCGTAATGGCCAACCTGGCATCTCTCGGGCCAGGGAGAGTCAGGCGATTTTGTGACCCTGACCTCAGCGCTCTCTGGGGCACATACGGGGAAAGGCGGTCCCTCAGGTAGGCAGGCCCCCAACCAAACAATTCTTGCCTTGAAAACCCCACCAGGGGCTGCCATAAGTCAGCTGTGAATTGACTTCCCACCACCACCACCACATTTTGAAACCGTTTTAACAACCCAACAGCAACAACAGACACTTGTGATTTTTGTCACCTCTGTGGACAAATGGAGCGAGAGTTCCTTTTGGGTGAGATCCCCTACTGGATGACTTTTTAAAAACTTTGCAGTGAATCCCCATCCGTAAACACAAAAGAACACATCCTATGGTGCATTCTGGCTTGTTCCATATTGTAAACTCACACTTACGGGGACTAGAAACTTGCTCTGGTTGAGTCACAACAACCAGAATGTGAAATTCTCCCAGAAAACTGTGGAACAAAGAACGCGACTGGGCAGCAGGCTGTACCAGCGACACTTAAAAATGAGTCTGACAGAAAAGCCTGTAGTTTTTCTAGCCGGTTCATTCAGATGTGAGCAGAGCGGCCTCATTTCTGGCAGGAGCAGAGCCCTCCGGAGAGGAAAGTTCTATTCCCAGGTCTGCCCCGGGCTTTTTGACCCACTTACAAACACAGCTGGTCCCGTTTCTTTTTTGTAGCAGAAGATGGCACCTTGACCGCATCATTAACTTACTCCCTTCATGCGTATGCAAGCAGGTTGGACCAATGCTCCCTCTAAGCAAAATTCTCCTTTGTGAGCTACTGGCATTAAAGTTGTGGGAGAGTGATTTGGCTACTGCATAAATTAGTTTACTCTGGAGCCATCCTTCCTGAGCTAAGGCAAAAATCGGAGAGCTGGAGGCTAAGAAACTATGAGCTAGCTCACACGAACTCATAAGAACATAAGAGAACACAAGAGAAGCCAATGTTGGATCAGGCCAGTGGCCCATCCAGTCCAACACTCCGTCACACAGTGGCCAAAAATACCAGGTGTCATCAGGAGGTCCATCAGTGGGGCCAGGACACTAGAAGCCCTCTCCCACTGTTGCCCCCCCAAGAACCAAGAATACAGTGCATCCCTTGCCCCAGACCGAGAGTCCCTATCTATACCTTGTGGCTAATAGCCACTGATGGACCTCTGCTCCATATGTTTATCTAATTCCTTCTTGAAGCCGTCCATGCTTAGAGGGAACACTGGTTTGGACATGTACAGCCAAAGCGACTGTGAGCTTTGCACACACATACTGTGACACGTTCAAGGAGAGCATCGTAAGGTTGGGAAAGCACACGCCGAAGGTGTAATACACCTGCCCTAGAACGATCCAAGATGCAGCGGCACCAACATTCTCCACCCCCCCCCGCCCCCATCCCCTGTTCTCTCCCCACCCCCAAACCGCTGAGAGCGCTTGCACACCAAGGGTAGAAAGTGCCGTCACGTTGCAGCCGACTTATGGCGACCCCGTAGGGTTTCCAAGGCAAGAGATGTTCAGAGGTGGTTTGCCACTGCCTGCCTCTGCATAATGACCCTGGGCTTCCCTGGGGGGTCTCCCGTCCAAGGACTAATTTGCGCCAACCCTGTTCAGCTTCCGGAATCTGACGAGATCGGGCTAGCCAGGTAAGGGCCTGGAAGAGACAGAGGGCGCTACGGAGCTTCAGGCTACCACATGATCACTGAAGGAGACAGTGGGGCGGGGCGGAGATGAATCTGATACCCCGAAGTCAAAGGTACCAAAACAAGACCATCGGCCTTCGTGGCCCAGCTGTAAACGTCTCAGGGGCACCTGGCTGGGTGCTTTGGGGAACTGGATGCCAGACTACAATGCGCTTTGGACTGACCCAGCACACCATGTGGTGGGAAAGCTCGCAGGTGCATGCAACATGGGAGTGCGATCTGACTTTCCTAATGAGAGACTTTCCTAATGAGAGTTCTCCCACCCTTCGATGCTTTGCTTGCTTGCAGGCTCCTTTGGGCCACCGTAACAGCGGCTGTAAAAAGTTTCTGCTCTGATTTTGCAGGTCGGCCACACCCTCTGTGTTCAAAGGCGGCATGTCCCTAAATGGCATGCCGATGAAAGGCAGGGGAAAGCCGTCACCTCTGTGCCCTGCTCCACGGCAACAGACGCCTGACCAGACGATCCCTTGATTTGATCCCAACAAGGGCTCTGTGACGCTGATGGGCAGTAGGTTCAGGACGGACAAAAGGAAATACTACTTTTACACAGAGACTGATTCAAATGTGGAATCTGCTGCCAGAGGATGGAGCGACGGGCCACAAGGGGAATTAGATTCATGGAGGATAAGTCTGTCAGTGGCTACTGGCCATGGTGACTGAGGGGAACCTCCACATTCAGAGGCACTAAGCCCCTCTGAATCCCAGAGCCAGGAGGCGACATCGGGGGAAGGCCTTGGCTTCTGCGCCCTGTTTCGTTGGCCCGCCAGAGGAGCCGGCTGGCCACTGTGTAGGACCGAATGCTGAACGGGATGGGCCACCGGTCTGATCCGGCGGAGCTCTGCTTATGTGCGCCTTGCCCCAAGAACACACCCCAAGGAGTAACTTTTCATACTTACACATTGACATAGCTCGCAGATAAGAAAAGCTCCCAACGTCGCCTCCTCGTGATTATCCTGAATGTCCACATTTATCACATGTACGGGCTGACACGTCTCCTGTTCTCTGGAATTTAAATCTAAAGCAGACACAGAGGAACAAAAAGAAAAAAGGGGGGGAAAAGCCATGAAGGTGACGTGAGAAGAATGAGCTCTTTCTTTACAAGAAAAACCCTCCGCAGCCAAGGTCAGGGCCAAGTGCCCTGAGCCTGAGTTTTTTAAAAACAACTACGCAGCCAGAAAAGGCTGGATTTGACAACCCGTATAAATTGGGTATTGCCAGCCTGGGGTGAGGCTCGGCGGGACACCAAAGCCCAGCATCTGGCTGCGAGAAACCCTGTCCAGCAATCCACCTGGCTTCCAAGAATCGCCCCTTTTGGTTTTTTAAAAATGAAAGCCCGGGTTCTTCGGTTTGTGCACCTGCGGAATCTCGGCACGCTTACGCTACCCAGACTGCAGGCCCGCCAAGCCTCGCTTCCTCCCCGGGTCAAGGTGGTGGAATTAAGACACCCATGCTGGAGCGTGGCTGCTGAGCTACTCGTGAGGAACAGCAGTTGATGGGCATTCTGCCTGCACCTTGCTCAGTTTCACAGCGGCTTCGTGTTCAACACTGAGCTCTATTCGGGGTGTTGGTTTCAATGCCCCGTAATGCTCCCTTCTAGGCTGTGGAGTCTCGTGAGCAAGTGAGCTGCTGACATTAAAGTCATGAGTGGGCGATCTGACTACTGCATAAATTAGTTTGCTGTGGAGCCCTCCTTCCTGAGTTAAGACAGAAATGTGTGAGCTGGAGGCTAAAAAACTGCTAGCTCACACAGCTTAGAGGGAATACTGCATGACAGGTCAACCTTTCCCCACGTTTCTTTCCCGGTGACGGATCATGAGACAAAGCCCGGCTTCTTTACTGTCCAAAGCAGGCCTTGTGACAACAGAACTGAGTCTCTTTCTGTTGAGAGAGCCTCCCTGTTGAACTCCCTGTCCAAGAAATCCTGCCTAGGCTCTCCGTGAGAGAATACTGTTCCACAAGTAAGGTGCGAGTGCTTAACCAGATTGAGGGACGGTGCTTATGGCCAACAAAGCAAAACGGATGCCACGCGGCCGCAGCGGCAGCTTCTCTAATGCTAACGGTCCTAGTTTCTTGCATCCCGTCTATGGGAACCAGGCCAAAATGAAGTGAGTGAGGCGGGCCGGCTTAAAAAATCTCATTATCTGCTCCTAGCAGGAACCGTCAGCGGGGTTTCACGAGCTCTCCTGTGCCACTTACGCCAAGAACCGCATAATGGTGGGGGGGAGGAGGGGGGAAAGAAAGGTGGAGATTAGCGTGGATGGACTGTCCTTCCTGTCCGCTATAAAAATGAGCACCGCTCGAATCAGGATGCTTCCCCGGGAGCAGACGCTGCCGAATTGAGTGGAAATTTCATTCATCTCTCGGCAAGGCGGCTCATTATAGCCGCCGGAGAAAGTTCCGAGCCAGTTCCCTTTAATGCACTCCGGGCTCTGCAGCAGTCGGGTGGACAGCCCCCCCCCCAAGCAAAGGCACGGCACTCAGCCTAGCCGGCGAGGGACCCCCCCCCCCCAATCTCTGGTCGTTTTTTATTTATAAGATGCCAGATTCGCTCGGCTGCCTTCTAATTTGAGAAGATTCATCGCGGCGGGAGACGGTGCGCGGCCGGGCGCCGGAGAGAGAGTGGTGCCCCTGCCAAGAGACTGTGTAACTTCACTTCAGTTGCGTGGTTGGTTTTTTAAAAGGGGTGGGGAGAAAAGAGTGGTCTTCTCGGTTTATTCTAAGTCATTCCCTATGCAGCTGTTCACAGGACTTGGCTTCTGCAAATGGCAAGGCAGAGCGCTTTCACACACCCCGGAAGATCTACTGGGTCATGTTCCATTTTTTCTGCTCCATGCGCTCCTGTACGCCCCTATGCAGGAACTGGTGTGAAGTGGTGGTTCGGACATGAGAGATTCTTGGGGTGCTTGGGGGGGGCCACAGTGGGAGGGCTTCCAGTGTCCTGGCCCCACTGCTGGACCTCCTGATGGCACCTGGCATTATTGGCCACTGTGTGACGGAGCGTTGGACTAGATGGGCCATTGGCCTGATCCAACATTGGCTTCTCTTATGTTCTTAAGGGGGGGGGGGAACTGCTCATATCCCGTTCTGCTGTGAAGCTTGCCGGGCCGATCGTCCACCCTTAGCGTTACCTGCCTCACGGGGTTGCTGAATGGTATAGCCCTAACTGCACACCACCCTGAACTCACTGAAGATAGTGTGTGGGGGAGGAAGGGGGTGAAAAGTATGAAGGTATACTGTACTCGCTCTGATGGCCATGTGTTCTGTGTTTACAAGAGATGGGGCTGTGAGGATCGCCTACCTGTGTCAACCTTGGCAGGAGGACGTGTACCAACAGGGCCTCCTCTGTGTGGGCACCCTGACAGTGGAATATCCTCCAAAGGCATTCCTTAAATCCATGAGTCTGCCTTACACAGAATGAGACCGTTGTTCCCTCCTGCCTCGGTGATATCTATTCCGGCTGGTAGTAGCTCTTATTCCCAAGCAACTGCGCTTAAGGAAAGGTGCAGGGAGATTTTTGGTTTTGGCTAGGAAGCCCACCCCCCTTCCCAGAATGCCGTCCACATACTGCAGTCTCTCGCTTCAGCCCTCCCCTGAAATTCGGCACCGGTTCACCGAAATCCCGCGATCCAAATTCTGCAGTCAATATCAACCATGCAATTCCGGCAGATGCACAAATCCTTCTCAGCCGGTGATTTTAAAAGGTGTCGTATCATTTGTTCTCCCAGCCCTGGGGAGGATCCACAGCCTGACCCACCCCACCGGACAGCTCACTGGACAACTCATCCGGCTGCTGAGGTTTCAGAACCATTTCCCTCAGGCTTTCAAGGATGTTCTGGCCACCGTAAGGGCTGGTCTCATGCTTTTAAAAAATTCGAGTCAGATGTTCGCACGGCGAGCATGCTGAGTTCTGGGGCTCGCGTAGGACGGCCCCATTCATAGCTCGGCCCCGGCTTGAGTTCAGCCAGGCTCCGGGTGGACCGGAGGGCAAGCCCTTACCTTCTACTACTTGATCATAGACTCTTTCTTCACACGTCAAGATGAGATCAAAGACGTCTTTGCAGCTCTGGAACCTTTCCGGCCGTGGTTTGATCCGCTTGTTTCTGTCCAGCATGTGCAAGATCCCGTTCTGTGTATAGCTGGGGGGGCCAAGAGTTAAGGAACTCCACCAAAGGCAAAGAGACTTTTGTTTAAACAAACCAACCGTGCTTTGGGCAAGGACTGTGACTGTCGGCACCATGGGCATTTCAAACTATAGGCTATTTTTAAAGGGGGGGACTATAGCGCGGCCCTGGCACCCTCCCACTGAAGAACCAGTAGAGCCGTTTTGAGATCCCCCCCCAAGAACACCCCAAAATTCTCCCAGCCAGACCCAAGAGCCAATTCAGATATTCGAGATATACCCTTACAACTGTCTTGGGATAGAAACCAGAGGGTGAAGACAGGTCAAAGCTCCCAAAACCTTTGCATTTAAAAGCAGCCGTGGGGATGCGGGCAGGGAAAAAGTAAAGCTTTGGATTGGGGCTTCAGAAGTCCAAAGAGGCAGCCGTGGGGATGCAGGCGGGAAAAAAGTAAAGCTTTGGATTGGGGCTTCAGTGTTAAGGAGGGTGAAGAGGGGAGGGAAACCCCATTTCCCAGATACAATTCCCCACCCATGAGTGGCCTGTAGCCCCAGAATGGAGGAAGAAAAATAGACAACCAACGTTTCCCCCCCACCCCCAGCAGAGGTAACAGCGGAGAAGGATGGTGGCTCTCTGTTTGGGAAAGGGTGCTGGAAGAGCAGGGGGTTAAATTGCCCCACAAGGCTCCCCCTAAACTGTGGCGTCTTGTGAGCAAAAATTCTACTTTGTGAGTGAGTGATTGGGCTAGTGCACACATAAGTTTGCTCTGGAGCCCTCCTTCCTGAGCAAAGACAAAAATGTGTGAGCCGGAGGCTAAAAAACTGTGAGCTGGCTCACACTAACTCAGCTTAGAGGGAACAATGCGACCGTAGCTCCAACCCAACACACACACACACACAATTGCACTGAGATCCTTGGATCTAAGAATGCCGGGGATACGCCCTTTCTGTCCAGCATCCTGCAGTCAAACAGGCCTAAATATCTGAATTTGCTCACATGCTCCCGGTGTTACCCTCGTGCCTCTCCCTTTCTTTTCTTTATCATATGAAGCTGACTTACTCAGAGACTGACCATTGGTCCATCTATCTCAGTGTTCTCTACTCTGACCGCTCTCCTGGGGTTATGGTCAGAAAATGGGTGTTTCTCAGAGCCTACTCTTAGAGATCTCATAATCTAGGTGTGCAAGGGATCGAAGCAATCATTTTCAGCAGGCCAGACATGTACTATGCCGCTTGCTGTCCTATGTTATCTTCTCCCCTGCTTCCCTCCAAAAACCTACTTTACACTATATGTTCTTCATCTTTTCATCTGTAAAATCCTGCCATACTTCGATGCACCGTTCGGAACATTAAGACACGGGGCCGGTTGTTAAAGGGACGCAGCACAAATCACAGTGCTACGGCAACGACTCGTATTAGGTATGTGGATGTTATTACAGTGTTGGCACGCTGACAAAACTCCTGCGCATGGTGACACAGGGAGTAAATCCCACTGGATTCAGTTCAGTCAGCATGCCCCACAGACCAGACTGCAAAGAAGCCTGGCTGTTTGCATTCAACATTCGATTACACCTTAGTGGGACAAAGAAACAGAATCAAAGACGGTATTATGCAAAGAAACTTGATGTTCGACAGGTTTTTTTTGGGGGGGGGGCCACTGTGGATCAACAGAAACATCTTTAATTTCTTCTAAAGGGAGAAGTCCTAAACAAAGGTGCTAAGGGATACAGGTGTGATGAACCCAAAGCTATCCTCTAACTACTCCCCCCTCCCCCATCAAGGGCCTAGAGACACCAAGGGGTCTGTCCGATGCATACCCATCTCCCGATACACACTTGCTGCAGCGCAGGTGGATTATTTCACTTACAGGTTTGCAATGAGGTTCAAAACCTGATTTAGTGGCCGACTCTGGTTAGCATGAAGATCAGTGCCAGAATCAGGGCTATTTTGGGGCAGGAACGCACAGGAACAGAGTTCCGGCTGGCTCCTGAGTTGGCCACGCCCAGCAGGAA